GTACTAGCCACCAAACCACCGCCACGAAGGCGTCCGCCTTTAAATTGCAAAACTCTCTCTCCATCCTTTGAGTTGCACGCATCTCTTAGATCAAGGCTCTCTGCATGGAGTCAGCAGCCTTGGCGTGGAGGAAGCCGACGTTTTCGCGGGAAGAATGCGGCTGCTGTGGGTGGTCTCGTACAAATCTCGTTTGTCCGTGGAACTCGGTGGAAGTCCGCCGTGTCCACGCAGCGGGGGGTTGTACTCCTCGCTCCACACGGGCTGGGGCACTCGAGGAAGGGGACGGGCCGCACTGCCGCCGCCCCGGCCTAGAGGAGGGACACACGCCGACAACTGGGCTGGCGGCAACAAGTAACGGTGTTACTGGTCATCATCATCATCATTTATTTTCCTTGAGGGCCCCAGGGGGCATTATACAAGGGAGTGAGCACAATAAAAACATCAACAAAAATATTTAATAAAAAACACGCTGTAACCTATACTTGTATTTCAGAAAGAAAGAGGTTAACGGCTGCAGCAAACTTGTTAGTGTCAGTCATGTTTACAATGAGGTCAGGTAATGAGTTCCAATCGTCAATAGCAGATGGTAAAGTCGACATTTTATAGGAGACTGATGACGAAGTAATTGAGCGCAGTTTACATGAGTGGTCAAAACGAGGGAAAATACGGTAGGGAGGTGATAGTAGAGAATCTTTTAGATGGTTGTGACGCGTTATTTTTTGTTTTTCCTGTAACGTTGTATTGAGCTCGTAACTTTTTGAAACAATAACTGAGGACTTACTTTCCTTACCTACTTCCGGTAATGGGTAACAAAGTTACGTTTCTCGTCACACTTTTTTCCCCAAAAACAAAAACAAAAATTACATTTCCATTTTTTTCTGCTTTTTGGCGCCAATTTATGTGAAACTGTCGAGTTTTTCTCTCTTTTTTTTCGTAAACATTCAGGAGGGGCCGTAAAACAAGATCAGGTAATTATATTAAGTTTCTGCATGGATGTAATATTTCATGAAATATGGCGCTTGTGGATACGCGTAACGTCAAAACGGTAAAACGTTTTAATTCTTAAATGTAAAGGGACGCAAAACTAAGTTGCTTTACCTTTTAACTGTAACGGCAACGCGTTATTTTTTCTTTTAATTTTAGATAACGTAAATCTGTAACGCGTTCCTTTTATTTGCAATTAACGAGAACGTATTTCATTACTTTTCTCTCGCAACGCCTACAACACTGACTTTACGGCAATGAAGATGTTGGCGCCTACGCTTTTTAGCGAAACCTATGTTCTCTATCCTTACGTCATTTACGATCTTCGCGAATGCGTGAAACTGTTAAAAAAAAAACACACGCTTCATCGACTTTTTGTTGTAGTTTTTGTAGTGTCGACGTGATGTACCCTCCGCTCGAAATCTGGTCGGACGCAATGTTGATGCATTTTCGTCCTACGCCTTCCTATGCGTGGAGGCAGCGTTTTCCAGCTCGTTTGAGTTCCTCGGAAATTCCATAGAATGAACATTATAATTACTGGCCAGTTCTAATCCAATCGTTTTACGTCCGTCTACTCAAAATGCGTATTTAGAACAAGCTGTTGATGTATTACCTCAGACCGAATTTAATTTGCTCAAACCTCACCGGTATTTAAACTGAGAAACGAGGTAGACTAATAATTAGATCTAGAAGGTACGATTAAAACCTCGTTAGGACATATGGTCGCGCAGTAATTGGGGTCTTTACACTTCTTCGTTCGATTAGTCCACACAGAGGTCTATTAACCAGCTGACATAAAGTTAAGTCTTAGAATACACACTAGACAAATTACACTTTGGGGCAGGGGATGGAAACTTCCCCTGCCGTCGCCCTCGATCACACCGCAGCCAAACTCGTCAAACAAGGATCCACACAAAGGCGGGCGAGCCGAACTTCTCCACAGCCGTAAGGGTTCCTACGTTTGCAAGTTAGCGGGCGGAAGGCTCCACAGCCGAAAGGGATCGGACGTGCAGGTCGACCTCCAGAGGCAGGGGGGTGTTCAGGGCTTGGTATCCAGGAGCGGAGTCCTCTGCGGAGTAGAGTATTGAGTGAGTGAGAGCATTAAGACACACAGGAAATCAAAGGAAGTGTTACTTAGCCAGTGGTCGCCTTGCGCGGCTGCTTATATTGGTTTCAGCAGCATTCTGGAGCCATCCAGGCAACCAATCACAGAGCGTGTTCTTAGCACCAATCAAAAGGCTCGGAGCCCAAAGCAAACATTAGCATTCCATAACAAGCGCATACACAACACAAAACACACTTCGAACGAAGTTCACAAGACCAGTAGAACAAGACCAAGCTGGTACTAAGGCGCAATCACAGGACGAGGCGCGTACACGAAAAGTCAGTAACCAAAAGGAAGTACGCAAATGCATAAAGGACAAAACAAGTCTATATGGCACCAAAAGCAAACCCCACTCAACACGTTGAAACAATTTTCAAATTCCCTAAACCTTGCTCTTTTTTATTATCCGCTGCCGACGGCAAGAGCTTCATGCAGGACGGTCCGTGGACCAGGGGTCCGTAAACATGTCAAAGAAAGACACGAAACCGTGCCACTTGACGCGAGAGACTTCATCCGTCTCGCGGCGCGACCAGCGGCCGACTACACCGGGGGATCCGCCTAGGGGCCCCAAAACAAAGTAAAAGTAAAACAACGAAGCCGCGAAGGCATAACTTCGCGACATTATATCTCCCTCCCAGAAGCGCGCGACACACAGCTTGGGTGCATCAAAAGTATCAACAATGCGTCTTGGTTTGCCCAGCACTTGAAATCAAAAGAAGACCCTTTCCGAAATACAGCCTAACCCCTGACCTCTTTGATCACTATCATCTTCATTTGCGGAATGGCTCCTGTGCCATACTAACGGAGGCCTCATGGTGACTCTTGAAGGAAGAAGCTGAAGATCCGCCTGTGCGGATGATGCGGGGCCTATACAGCGTGAAAATTCATCTGCCTTCTTGTAGTAAAATTGAGAAACACGATGAACTAATAATTAGATCTAGCAGTTACGATTATAATCATCATCTAAAATAAAAGACGCAGAGAAAGCACTTCGCAGTGAAGAATGCGTTGTTGTCTTTCGTTGAATCGCGAAAGTGACTGTGTACTATGACAAACTCCATGTTCATTACCGCCATCGGCAAATCAAAAAGGAAATTTGGCATTCTTTCGAAGCCCTCTTGTGGAGTTCTAAAGCAGAACAGACGCTTTTAAAAAGTTCGTCAAGCAACATTGTCGGTCTCTCCGAAGCACTGGATTAAATCCGAGCCTTCGCCGAACGCGGACGAAACCATCGCGTAGCAGCAGCAGCAGCAGCTACTACATGGCACGGACTTTTGAAAACAGGCTATTGAGTCTACAGATTACGGGAGAGGGGGAAGATGAACACGTTTAAAATATCACATCATGAGAGCGCTTCTTGAAGTTTCCGAAGGCGAACACCTCCGAGAAAACAAATGGAACTTGGGAACGATGGATACACGACGGGACCTGATGCGAATAACACGGCGAACAACAGGACCGAGAGCAAATGCCGAAGTGGGGCTCAAAGACAGGACCCGCTGAGCTGCGCGCGCGTATGTACAGCCTTGGCACGGACCCCCATCAATCCCAACACGTAGACCCCACCCAGGGAGGAGAGGCGGTCTCACACCCCGGAGGAGAGGGATCGGCTCCCGACGTGACACCCATGTCGGGAGAGGAAGGAAGGGGCCGGCAAACCAGAACAACTGGCAACAACCGCGCCGACAAGCCCGGCAGAACAAAGAGGAAAAACGAGCGGGAACGATCCACACGACGCGCACAAAAAAACGTCAGGAGGAGACGGCTCCTCCGGAGGGGTGGGGGAGAACAAGAAGAAACGCCGCCAAGAAGCCATCCGAACCCAACCCTAAGCTTGCACGGCCAAAAGGAATCGCACGGCAGTCGGCGGCCCGTTGCTCGCTGGTCCTACACCCTTCGTCTCGAGGTGGTTTCAAAAAATTCTGTTCCGCGGAAAAAAAGGGAAAAAACGTCCCTCGAGAGAGAGAATTGGCAACACGAAGAGAAAGAGGAGATTTGTGTTTGTGAGAGAGACGAGAGAGAGAGAAGCCGATGAACAGAGGAAGCCGCTCAAACCGGAGAGATCTATAAAAATAAAATTAAAAAAAAAATTTGGCCGTACCCAAAAGCCTATCCACCATCTTGTAGGGTGGACGTGGAACGTGGAGGCTAGCGGCGAGGGGGGCAGATGGGGGCCAAGGCAAAGGGGGGAGCAAAGAAGCCGACCATAAAAACGCGTCGAGCCGAAAGCAAAGAGCAAGAAAATTGTGTAGCGGAGAAAGAAACAGTTCAAAGCCGAGGGGTCAAAAGCAACCTCCTTAACTTTTACAACACTCCTTGCCGGGGCTTCGCGGCTTCGCCAGCAGGTACCCATGACCGTCAGGCTAATTACAACCCGCCAAGAGAAGACGAAATAACACGCGCACCCTCTCTCTCTCTACATGCGCGCTCCCTCCCCCTCTCCCCTCTCCCCCCCCCCCCCCCCCCCAATACCCCAAGCAACCGGCCAACCCCCCCAAGGCCCACCCGCACCCCCCTCCCCTGCTCCCACTCAGCCCTGTACCTTCCTTCTCCCCGGCCCCTGCTTTGTAAGCTTCGTTCCGTTCTTCGGCGGGAGCGAGCAAAATACAAGCGAGAAGCGGCCCCTTCCTCCTCCTTTACTCCGCTCCCCCAGCCGTGTCCCCCCGCCGTTCCTTGGAGCTGTGTTGCTGGCACCGGCGGCTAACTTCAAAAGCGACAGCGTGCACGCCGCCGCGCAACTGCCGCCGCACTCGCCTCCTCTCACCACGTACGCGCGCAGGAAAACATAGTTCCTCCACGTTTCCTTCAAAATGGCAGCTCGCAACGCGTTGCATCAAACTTTCTTTCCCATTTAGAACTTGGGTATGGAAACTTACGCATAAAAGTTTTAAAATCGGGACATTTGGAGTAAGAAAAAGAGAAATCAAAACAAGAAAAACGCGGACGGATACGTTGAGCGATGCAGCCGGACTATCTTCGCCCGTTGCTCCGCTTCTCCAGCGCTCCTCCGCTCTGTGCGGCTGCCTGTCGTTCGCTTACTTCAAGCGAGGCGCTTCGCCGAGGATGCTCATTCGGAGATCGTGCGCCACTCGGATTACTTGGTGCCAGCGGCATGCTTCCTGAGTCGCTGCCGCTGTAGCCGCGGATGTGCGTGTTCTTCGTGTGCTGTGCCAGTGCTCCCAACCATGGCAACGAGGCTGCCTCTCCTGCTGCTCCTGCTCGCGAGCTTCACGTTCGCCCACCGGTCGACGCTTGAAAGCCGTCGGGGAAAGTGCGAGCGCATCACCATCCCCATGTGCCAGGACATGCCGTACAACCTGACGCGCATGCCCAACCTCATGGGACACACGGACCAGAGCCAAGCCGCAATCCAAGTGCACGAGTTCGTACCACTCGTAGAAATTGGTTGCTCCAAACACCTCAAGTTCTTCTTGTGTTCCCTCTACGCGCCCATGTGCACAGAGCAAGTTGACATGCCAATCCCGTCCTGCCAGTCCATCTGCGAAGAGGTCAAGTCCAAGTGCCTGCCGCTTCTGACGCAGTTCAATTTCAACTGGCCCCAAGCTCTGAACTGCAGCCGGCTTCCCGTGCCTGAAAAGAATGGTTTGTGCATGGAGTTCCCACCGGTAGCGGACGAGCGTTATTCCAAGTACCTCCTGGACAAGACGGAGTCTGCCAAGCTTTCCCAGAACCACAAGCTCCTCAACCTTCCTCTGGCTCACGCCTTTCCGCCCTTCAAGAAGTTTCAAAACGGACGGTTCTTCGACGTATCGTCCACGGAACCTTCCTCTTCCGTTGGACGTTCCAAGAGCTGTCCGGAGACCATGGTGGAGCTACCAGGTCAGAACCAGAATCAGTGCATCGCTCGCTGCGGCTGGGACTTCCTCTTCACGCGCAACGACAAAAACTTTGCCGAAATTTGGATGGGAATCTGGGCCGCCGTGTGCTTCATGGCAACCTTCTTCACTGTGTCGACCTTCTGGATCAATCCGGCTCGGTTCCGCTACCCCGAGCGCCCCATCATCTTCCTCAGCCTGTGTTGTTGCTTCTCCAGCATCGCCTACCTGTTCCGCATCTTTGCTGGCTCGGAATTCATCTCGTGCAACCGCTCGGAAGGCGTGGACGCTCATCTCATTGTCGAAGGAGTGGACAGGTCCGGCTGCATCGTGGTGTTCCTCTTGCTCTACTACTTCGGCATGGCCGCCGCCTTCTGGTGGCTCGTGCTCACTCTGTCGTGGTACCTGGCGGCCGGAAAACAGTGGGGCCACGAAGCCATCGAATCCCTGGCCAGCTACTTCCATCTTGTCTGCTGGGCCGTGCCAGGGATCCTCAGCATCGTCGTGCTGGCGCTCCGACACGTCGACGGCGACGAACTCACCGGAATGTGCTTTGTGGGGAACCAGAGCCGAGAGGCGCTACTCAGCTTCGTCATAGCGCCTCTCAGCTTTGTTCTGACTGTGGGGAGCCTGCTCATATTCCTGGGTTTTGTGTCTCTCTTGCGAATCCGCAAAGTCATGAAGGAAGGCGGGAGAAACACGAGCAAGCTCGAGAGGCTCATGGTGCGCATCGGACTCTTCTCGGTGCTGTCCACCGTTCCGGCGCTCACGCTGCTGGCCTGCCTGCTGTACGAGTACCACCAGATGCCCCTCTGGAAGGAGGCTGCCATCGCCAACACCTTCGAATGTCTACTCAAGCGGGGAGACGGGTCGCCCTGCAGACTCCATGACAGCATCCCGCTGGAAGAGGTGTTCATGCTCAAGATCTTCATGTCGCTTCTTGTGGGTATCACTACGGGCGTCTGGATTTGGAGCAACAAGACTTGGACCACTTGGGGCAAACTGTGTGCATCCAGGTTCGGTCGCCGTTCCCGGAGGCACCACGCCAAGGTCCTCCCGGGAAGCCTGGCATCGCCCCACAATCACCAGTTCTATCCGCTCAATGTGAATGCCAGGACAAAAACTCACTCTCACAGGAAAGCGCTGACCAACGTAACGATGGTGTGAGATTCTGCAAAAGCAGATCTTGTAAATATGCTTGTAAATATGACATAATGATGTATATATATATATATTAGAGAGCGTGACGTGAGTTGGTAAGGAGACCACTCATATTTTGGGGGAGTGTGCCAGCATGTGTGTTTCCGAGTGAAGGCAAATACAAATATTTCTATACGGTTTGCACTGTCTCCTCGTATTCTTTGTTCACACGAGGGCTTGAGACTAAACGCTTGAGTTAAACGGTTTAATTTAAATTATATTATATTGTTGAAGAAGGATCCAGGTGCTTAAAGAGTATGCAAGTTCCAAAAGGTGTTGCAAAAGCAAGTCTCAGTTTTGGCGACATTGCTGGCAATTGGATGTATTTCTCGGATTTATTTTATGTTAAGCAATGATAATTCTGAAGCAGATTTGAAAACAAAGCAATAACAACGAGGACATGCCCATTGTGGAAGTATGGATGTCTGCCAACGTCCATCACCAAGTCCACAGCCAATGAGTTGAGCAGACGATTGCGGACGATAAGTTCCCGATCGCCAAGAACCAAATGTAACACGGCTGTAGAGAGGCAACGCCCTGTGCTGCAGTCTGTCTGTAAACAGACTTTACCTAAAATTGCCCACCGCAGCGTGCGGAAACAAGATGATTATGAAAATAAGCAATCAAGTTGCATTTAACTAAGGTGCAATATTTATTATGACAACTAGCCCCTAGGTGTAGAATACATGAACGCCGACATCCATTGATAAGGTGATTTATTAAGGCGAAATAGATAATGTGGCCATGGAACGGAACCTCCTAAAATACTCTAAATGGCCCCCCACGGTTGCCACTTTGACATCTTTAGAGAACTCTTCCATTTATTCCTACCAGCTTCGACTGCGTTCGTATTTTTGTCGGGCATTGTGAACTTGAGAACCGGCTGGAAATGCTCTGACCAAGCAGATAATGGCGGCACTCAAAGGTCATAAGCGACGAAATACAAAGACAGAAGAGCCATCACTCTGTAAACAAATTAGTTATGTACAGTGTATATTCCTTTCTTTATCATTATCATGTTCAATCCTAAAAAAATTCCAGATTAAATATATTAAGAAAAAACACTACATAACTCTTCAGTTGGTTATTAAAAGCTTACGACGGGGCAATGTACGTTTTCCTCCCGACCGGTGCTGGGACCTCATGCAAGGGTATGACATGCCAGACATTCCATTGGGGGGAACTCGGAAAGACGCAGACATTCTTTACAAAACAACAACAAGAACAACAATAATACCACGAATGAATGCCGCATTTATTTTAAAGAACGGTTGGACCGAGCTCTATAAATAATTCAAGCCACGGCGTCTATCTTTTTTGCTCCCGGCGGGGAGGCTTAAGCCATCCTTAATCCGTGGGATTATTTTAAAACTCGGGCCTTATGGAGGGTCCCCGCTGTACACAAAGACGGATTACAGAGTTCGACACGAGCCGGTCTTTCGACCGATTGCCTTGGGGCCCCAAGTGGGGCGACCGGAGTTCCCGAGACCTACACCTTTTTATACTCGAGTTATGCTTACGCGGCAAAGGTCGGATCGTCTTAGAGCTCGCTTGTTTGGACGATATAATCCCGTTGATGCTCCAGGCTGCACGGAATCTAAGATTCTAAAAGCTTGACCTAAAAGTCTTAAAACTATTTTTGATATATATAACGCTTTTTGCACCCCTCTTATTCATCGATGGTCTCGCCACCGTGGGGAGGGGGAAGGGGGGGGGGGGGGGGGGGGGGGCGGGCGGGTATTAGCACTGTTCCAGTTGTCCATGGTTCCCTTTTTTCTGCTTGCCTATTGCTTTTGTTTTGAATAACATGAGCTTTTTTTTATTTCTTTTTTGTCAAACCCACATTGGGCGCCTTTTACAGTCATGTTTAGTTTATATAGACCCCGTTAATATGAATACCTCGGTATTTAGACGCCATTTTCGGGGACGAACTGGGGAAATGCGTGCATTTTTGTCTCGTTGTTATGAACAACTCACATTATGGACGATTTTTGGGGGGAGCGGAGGTGTCCATATATTAACGCGACATCACTTTATATAGTTTAGAACTCACCATCTTGCGTCCAGGGACATCACAGAGCCGTGCGAATGGTCTCACGATGCACGCCAAGAAAAAAAATTAAATAGTCTATATACATCGACAAACATATACCTCAACGTTAACTTTTTTTTTTATTTTTTTTTTAGGTAATGCCTCCTCTTGGTTCTTGAACACCATTTGACCAAAATAACGCTCTTATATCTTCCACGAACATTTTTTTCTGACAGGTGAAATAAAACATTTATATGTTAGAAGTGAGAGAATGAAGACAAGCTGATTCAAAAACAACGTACACGTAAACCAAAAAAAAGAACGAACGAAGACAGCAAGATTTTAAACTCAGCTGAAATTTATTTCTGTAAGTGGAAGATGTTGTCTTCGTCGTTTTATTTTCTCCCTCATCTTAGGGTTTACGCGTGTGATATATATTTACGTTCCAACTGAGACAGGTTTACTTAGACGTCAGAAATTCGGGCATAGCCCACTCACACGGAAAGTAACCTGTGAATGAAAACAATGACGATAAGGCGACCGGAACTCTGTCACGCCAGAAAGCAGTTCAAAAGTATTTGCCCATAATTATACCTCTCACGAAGGACCACGATCTCAGGTCTGGAAAAAACGGGCAAAGCGAGCCTATACAGGCACGCGAGTAAGTGCTCGGAAGTTATTCTTCCTCTATTTTGGGTGGCACCAGATGATTGACGGCGATGGAATGAGCTCTTGTAGCCGTCATGCGAGGAAATAAGCGGCGACCCATCAATATGGCAGATGGAAGAAAATCTTCTTACTGCACTCCGGTATCCCACTCTATTCGATCCAGCATGTGCCGAGCAACGTTATGACTTATAAAATATACAAATTTGCTTGTACAACACCCCTATATATTTTTGTTTACGCGTTTTTTTTTTCTCTCTTTACGGAAATTTGTTCCCTTCTCCACCGAGTACCAATCACACTTTACAGCTTCGCATCGTCAGTTAACAAAGCTTTATCATTTCTAAGGCATCCATAAATTCCTCACGTCTCTTTATATGTTTATATTTGGTATTTATTAATGTAACAAGTTGACGGGTTGTAAAGGTAGGCATCGGACAGTTATTTCTTTTCGAAGAACAGATACATTTTTGTGCCACTTATTGCGCGATAATCTAATACAGCATAAACAACAACAACAACGTGTTTGGCATATAAGGCAGAGAAAAGAGATTAATAGATAGTACAACTAGAGCATTCTCGTATATGACTAAGTACAGGTAGTTTTAAATTTGTAACGTTGCTGAGAAGTTTCTAAAGCTGATTTGTGCAGCAAATAAAACATTTTTAAAAATACTCTGGAATGTCGATGTTTTTCAAGAAACCCAGGACATTACAAAGCTGTTACCCTTCCTGTTGGCGGGACGACGACTTTCACAAGACAGAGGCGAGGTCGGCACAGCTAAATTCGTCAACTGAGGTATGACATTCCCTACCAGACGATAATAATTCCTGGAGAAAGGGGACAAAAAATTAACACAAATCTCCAAACACAGCTAGGTGACTGGTATGCGCTGAAAAGATCCTCCTGGTCCCGGTATCGAACCAGGGACATATCCATCTCTAGTGGAGCGGTCTACCAACTGAGCTAACCAGGAATTAGACGTCAGTAGAGCAAACGGGCTTTATCAGCTGCCACCAGTCTACCAACAACAGGGGTGAACGGCCTGCATTTTAAGGGTATGGTGATAATGCAATTAATGCAAAGCTGTAAGCGAGCTGGGCAAGAATAACGATAATAGTCCCTCGGGAAGGGGAACAAGGACACACGCAATGGACCTTTTCCGAGAAGCGTTCTGCGCACGCGCGAACGCCCGATGCCAAGCAGCGGAAGTCGGTACGAAAAATCGCGGAAATTCGGAAGGAGGCTGTTGATCAGCGAGTAGAACACGTAATTGCAGCATATATATAATTGTGTTTCACAAAAAAAGAAAGTGGACGGAAAGAAAAACACGAGGTTTGGGTCGCGTTTTTCTTTCCGCTCTTTAAAGTCGCGTTGGGCACGCGTTGCAGCTCAGAGAGCGAAGAAACTGGTAGCGCAACTCCCATTATCGATTGGTAGCGCAGGTAGGTCGCTTCCTCAATTTTTAGCTCGTGCAGCCACCGCCTGGTGCCGTCGGTATGTGGAAAAGGTCCATTGTTTTGGCGAAGCCGCGTGCGCGTTGGTAGAGGCTGCAAGGGTCAGTGTCGACGATGCGGAACCCAGACTTGTGCCAGTCACTTAAAAATGTAAGGGTTTACAATAAGAATTTACCGAGTCTCAAATGTAACGGATTACCGTTACCAATTACTTCCTCTGAAAAGTAGCTTATTACTTTACTCGTTACGTTACAAATTACCTCCACGTTACGTATTACTTTCACGTTACTTTTCCGGTACACTTTTCAAGAAAACAATAAAAACAATCTTGATGTTTCTCAAATATTCTGCAACACTACTTTCCATTTATCACCCACCCGCATTATGGTAGTTCATGACAAAAAATACTGGATTTAATAGAAATAATGTATAGGTGCACTCCGTTCGCCTGTAAGCTGACAAGGCACCGAAAGCTGCAACCACACCCGCCATCCCGCTGGCTTACGGCGACCAGAAACGATTCCTGGAATTCTGCAGACAAAGCTAGCGGTGTGCGTGTTCAGTAGCAGCTTCTACCTCCGCTACGAGGTTCGGAGGTCAGGAACCGATCTGCAAAAGCTCCGTTTTGAATCGGGTTTTTCAAGCGTGAGCGCAACGTCTCAAAGCTGCGGTCTCGTGCATGGAACTTTGAAGCATTGTGTGCTTATGAATGAACGGACTATAGACGCTTTACACACGCGCCAGATTGAGCCGCCATAGCCGCCCTTCTCTGGTCTTACCGAGATGCCGAGCCACTGAAGCGGGCGTTGACGGGTCTTCACAAGGGCCTATGCTGGGCACAAGAACACAGTAGCATCTAAAATGGCAATAACCTGTCCTGCTGTGGTAATGATGAAGTGAAGCGAACGGAATAAGAGGGAACAAAAACTGAAGGTCAGTTATGGCGGCGCCCATGCACAGCTGCTGTAAAGCGTCTATAGTTGC